TGGCATCTTTAGCTTTTAATTCTTAATATGTAAGACAAAAATTATATTTGTATACTAAATATATAAACAGAATAAATAGTTATAAATCTATATCATGGTGTACTTTCTTTGCGTTTGGCGCGCTCTCCCGTCCCAGCTTTCATGCATAGCTCCTTGCGAGAGAATTATCATGAGAGAGCAAACACTAGGAAAGAAAGAAAGAGACAGAAGAAGTGATACGGTGCACGTGAGAGAAGAGATATCACACAATGAAAATATTTTTGATAATTTAATATAATTTTTTAATAGTTTTCTTATAATTTAGTAATAAATGGAGCAATGAAAAGAGAGGGAGAGAGAATTTGGAAAATAAATAAGATTTTTTATATTAATTAATTAATTAATTAATTTTTAATAAAATAAAATGTGTATTATATACATAGTGTGCAAAAGAATTTAAAATATACAAAATATAAATGTGTATTATATACATAGTGTGCAAAAGAAATTTTAAAGAATTTAAAATATAAATGTGTATTATATACATAGTGTGCAAAAGAAATTTTAAAGAATTTAAAATATAAATGTGTATTATATACATAGTGTGCAAAAGAAATTTTAAAGAATTTAAAATATAAATGTATATTATATAAAGTGTGTAAAAAAAAAATTGTAAAAAATTTAAAGAATTTAAAATACGCAATATATACAATTATATATAATACAATTATAAAAGTATAAAAAAGAATACAAAATATAAATGAATAATATATAATTGAATAATATATAATATAATGAATAATATATAATATAATATAATAGGAGGGCGATGGCAACGACGATATGGTGGTGGGGGTGGTGGTGGTGGTGGTGGTGGTGTCGATGAGAGGCGATGGTGGGGCGGCCGCTGGAAGAGTGGTGACTCTTTTCTGCACATAAAAAAAAATTTATTAATTATTTGAATAATTTGAAAATAAATACCTACACATGCGACCTACCTCCAATTAATTATCAGCATCCGTATCAGAATCCGAATCAGAATCATAACTGATCATATATTCAAGATAATTATGCTGATGGATTCCTCGCATCCTTTCGGAACACGCTTCTCGATTTCCGCCTGGCAAACAGCAATCTCGGCAAATGGCTGCCTCTAATTTGTTCCTCTTTCTAATCCTATATCCTCTTTCTAATCTTTATATACGATTTTAGATGGGAGGTCGCGATTGGAGAATTTCTTCCGCCAAGTTCACGATTTCTTAAATATTCCACCACCGACATGTTCATTAATTTTTTATTCCGTTGCTCGCACACTTTAGTCTTATTCACTTTTTTAATGTTTTTTTTCACAACGTGCATTGTGGACACTTTTTTAATGTTTTTTTTCACGTGCATTGTGGACACATATTGCACGGAAATGTTAAATATAACGGATCTCTGCAATTAGAACAGTATCGTCCATCCGTTGCATCCAATGTCTGAATTACATGTTTTCGTACGGCATACATCATTTGGGCGTCTACACCTTGCAACGCAATCATGCAGGACGCACATACTGCTAAAGCGCCGCCAGTCGAGTAATAAAAGAATATCGTGCAATATTTTTTTTGTCCGCTTAATGCATTAATTTCTGCGATAGATACTATTTTTTCTTTGACTAGTGCAGAGTCACTATCCTCACTGCAGTCACTAATACAGTCACTGTCGGACGACAACACGCGATCTTCGTCTTCGTTTTCCATTTTATGTATTATCACACAATATATATATCACACTTTCTAACAGAACACTATCTTTTTTCTGACAAAACACTTTCCGAGAGAACACTATTTTTTGCTACCGACGTGTCGATGCGTTTTCAAATGATGTACTATGATCTGCTGCGCTTCGATCCTTCTTATATTCGACCAACAAGCTTTCAGAGACTGTTGGGGGTTGACACGAAAGAAAATTTTCTTGCAAATGTACCTAGGATCGTAGAAAAAATGCGCTATTATATTACACAGATTGCTTGAAAAGGTTGGACTGAAATATCTCAAAAATGTAAGTTTATGAAATAAAGTCATAAAAATATGTATAAGAGTATAAAAGTTTTAGAATATACATTTGTATAAAAGAATTATACAAGGTTTTCTATAGTATCCCATTTGCAAAAAAAAATTTCTTTGTGCCCCCGATAATCTCTGAAAGCTTGTCCGCTTAATCTCTATTGTTTATACGTCGAACGGGAAAAAAAACCTGGAATTATCTATTACGGGTGTACCTCGAGAGTACAAAGCAGCCGAACATCGGCGCTGATATGTAAACGAGGGAGACACCTCCGATTAGTCAATCAAAGCCAATTGTGTCCAATTATATTGTGTCTAATCGAGTAATCCCCAGACAAAGCAGCCGATCATTAGCGCTATTAAAATTTTTCCTTAAAAAATAAAATTTTTCCTTAAAAAATAAAATAAAATACAATAAAATAAAAGAACAATAAAAAGGATTAGATTCCCAAAATCTTTTTCAAAATATAATAAAATACAATAAAATAAAATAAAAGAACAATAAAAAGGATTAGGTCCCCAAAATCTTTTTCAAAATATAATAAAATACAATAAAATAAAAGAACAATAAAAGGATTAGGTCCCAAAATCTTTTCAAAATACAATAAAAAAAAAAAAACAAAAAAAGACCAAAAAGGATTAGGTCCAAAATCCTTTTCAAAAGAATACCGCTCTTTTGTTTATGCTTGTCATTACGCCCCCAACCCCGCGTGACGTCATACCCCGCTCGCTGAGATCCCTCGCACCTCACCTCCTGAGAGGACTGGGTTAGAACCGGCCTACTACATTTACTAGCGTTTCACCCTTCTCGATGGAATGTCGACAGCAACTAATCGTTTTAGGGATGGGCGATTCTACTCGATTCTTCGAAAACCATCCGATTCCTTTTTTGAAGAATCGATTATTGTGTCGATTATTTTAAAGTTCGATTCTTGATAACTCAATTATTTTTTAATCAGAATCGACAATAATTTTTGCTTTCAGGGCCAATTACTTGTATTGGCGGTGACCTCAGGCCGCGCGTCATTGGCCGCTGATGAGGTCTACCGCTGACAATGAGTTAATTGTCATGCGCGCGATCTTTTAGATCAGCTGATTGGTAATCAGCTGATCGTGACGCATGGGCGCGCATGCCGTAAACTGTACAGTTTTCGGCGACCGTTGACACTGTTATTGTCAACGGCAGAGACAAACGTTTTTTGCGGTGGCAATAAAATAGAGATAACTCGAACGATCGGTTTTTTCTCTATAAATAGAAACGTCGAGAAGATTCTCGACGTCCGTTAATTTGAAAAATCTCGGTTTTCGGTAATAATGAGCTGAGATGATATGCATGCGAAATATGAATTTCAAACATCCCGCCCGCCTCGTCAGTACATGACGAAATGAATGAGTGCGTGTAAGTACTGACAGATGTCATGAATAGTTCGATTTGTGAATTGTGAATCGCGCGTGATGAATGGAATGTGACAACACGTGTGATTCAGTCTATTGAAATTTTCGCTTGAGTGAGTATTGCGTTTTGGTGAAACATTGTGATGGTGAATAATGAGAAACATACTCGTGATGTCGTGTACAATGTGTAAAAGTATTGGCGGTTGATTTCCAAAACGTGGAGTGCGGTGATGAGTGATTGTGAAATCGCGACGTGAAAATGAAAAAAAAGAAAACGCGAGAAGACAATTAATAACGCGATCCGCCGATCGTACGTGAGGTTATAAGTGACGCGAGTGAAGTGCGATGCGGTGAAGCGAATTAATGAGAAACCGCCGCAAAAAAAAGGGAGAAACGAAATAAGAACGTGTGATTGTGCGGGCTCACGAATCCGGTTGTGATGAGTCTGCCCTGGCGTTGTCTCCTGGCAGGACGATGATCTTCGCGAATGGCCGAGTGAACTCCGAAGATGCGGTGCGGACGGTGACGACGCGTGTAATTCCGTCGTCTCCTGGGTGCAGTGCCGTGATGCGGGCGAGTGGCCATCTCGTCGGAGGCGTGATCTCCGATCGCAGCAGGCACAGGTCGCCGATGCTCGGGCCGGCTTCGTCCTTGGTCCACTTTGGTCGTGACGCCAAAGTGCTGAGATACTCGCGCGTCCACCGTTCCCAAAAGTGGTCGCGCATTTTTTGAAGAAGCCGCCACCGAGATAGAGCGGTGTCCTTCTCGGACGTGAGTGACGGCTCAGGAACGGCCACGAGGGGGGCGCCGATGATGAAGTGCCCTGGTGTTAGCGCCGCCAGATCGTCGGGATCATCCGTCAGCGGCTGCAACGGACGCGAATTTAGGCACGCCTCCACCTGAGTGAGGAGGGTCGCCATTTCCTCGTAAGTGAGGGTGGCTTCGCCGATGACCCTTCGGAGGTGGTGTTTGGTGGATTTGACGGCGGCCTCCCATAGTCCGCCGAAGTGTGGTGCTGCGGGGGGGTTGAACCTCCATCTCACGCCGTCGGAAGCTGTTGCGTGAATTATCCGACGGCCGTCGGAAGAGGAAGCGCGAAACAGCTCCCGCAGCTCACGGTCAGCTCGACGAAGTTCGTGCCGCAGTCGGAGAAGACGTCGCTGCAGAGGCCTCGCCGGGAAACGAAGCGGCGGAAGGCGGCCAGGAACGCCTCGGCCGTGTAGTCCGTGACTGCCTCCAGATGGACCGCCTTGGTGCTGAGGCAGACGAAAACTGCGATGAAGCCCTTGGATGCCTTGTGGCCTCGTCCCTTGCTGGCCCGAATGAGGATAGGGCCGGCGTATTCGACCCCGGTGCGCAGGAACGGGCGTGCAGGAGTCACTCGTTCCCGGGGCAGATTGCCCATGAGTGGTTGCGGTGCGGCGGCTCTCCACCGCGTGCAGGTGACGCATCGGTGGATCGCCCGCTTGACGACTGCTCGACCACGTGGGATCCAAACTCGTTGACGAAGCAACCCGAGAGTGAGCTGCACTCCTCCGTGCAGGGTCCGCCGGTGGCAGGAGTCCACCATCAAGTGAGTCAACCTTGACTCCGGATAATGCTGGGATGCCGCTCGTCGTGAGACAGGATGGCGTTCTTCAGTCGTCCTCCGACTCGCATTACACCGCTGTCGTCGAGGAACGGACTCAGCTTGGTGAGAGGACTTCTGGCTGGCAAGGCGCGTCCTTTGCTGAGTGCTGTGATCTCGCCGAGGAAGTGCAGAGTCTGTGTGATGCGAATCCAGTGAAGGAGTGCGTCTTCGATCTCGCAAGACATGAGTGAGAGTGCGGCGTCAGCGGTGGTGCGAAATCTCCGGGTGCCGGTCCGTCGCCATCGAAGACACCAGGCTGTCACTCTGAGCAGTCGGTGCAATGACGAGAAACGGAGCAGGAAGGCCGACTCGGAAACGTCCTTGATAGCCGCCGAGAGTGAGGCGACGGCCCTTTGCTCCGGCACAGCAGCGTTGAGCAGGGCGCCGTCGTTGTTCGGCCACCTTGCTTGGTCCTCTAAAAGCCAGGATGGTCCCGTCCACCACAGAGGATGACCGACCAGGTCGCTGGGCAGAACTCCTCGGGAGGCGCAGTCAGCTGGGTTGTCCTTGCCCGGCACATGTCGCCACCGCGCCTCGGGTAGCCGCTCCTGGATCAGCGACACTCTGTTGGCCACGTAGGTCTTCCAGCGGGAGGCGTGTCCGTGGATCCAGTGAAGAGTGACCCTGGAGTCCGACCAAAGGAAGACTGGAGCTGAGGACAAACTTAGCAGAGTGCGCGTGTAAACGACGAGGTTCGTCAAGAGGGCGGCCGCGCATAGCTCGAGTCTCGGCAAGGACACGGGCTTCACGGGCGCGACCTTGCCCTTAGCGGTCAGCAGGTGGAGTGTGGTGCCCCTTCCAGTGGAGGAGCGGAGGTACACCACGGCGGCGTACCCTCGCTCCGATGCGTCGGCGAATCCGTGTAGTTCGACGTGTGAGTGCGGACCGTCGCTGCCGAGCCAACGAGATACCTTCATCTCGTTGAGGCGCGGAAGTTGCGAGAGCAGGTTCCGCTAAGCGAGCGTGTCCGGTGATGGAAGTGGAGTGTCCCAGTCGATCTTCTGGAGCCAGGCGGACTGGATTAGGATCTTGGCCCGCATTGTGACCGGGGTGATCCAGCCGAGAGGATCGAACATTCGTGCGGTTTCGGACAGGACACGCCGTTTTGTAAGTTCGTCGAAGTGACGTGTCGGTTGTGAAAAAGTGAAGTAGTCACCGGCCGGGTGCCAGTGAAGACCGAGTGTTGTGTGGCTCTCGTGAGACCATGAGTGAGGTGAGTGGGTGAGCCGGTGCTCGTGCGGAACGCCGTCCAGGATGCTGAGGTGGTTGGCCGCCCATTTCCGAAGAGGAAACCCGCCCGCCATGCAGAGGCTGCGGAGCTCCCGTTGCGCTGCGGTGGCCTCCGAGAGGGTGCTCGCGCCGGTCACGACGTCGTCCACGTAAGTATCGCGGCGCAGCGCGACAGCTCCTTGTGGAAATCGGTGACCTTCATCGTCGGCGAGCTGGTGTAAGGTCCGTATGGCGAGGAATGGCGCGCACGCCAAGCCATACGTGACCGTTCGCAAGCGGTATTCGCGGATGTCGTCAACGGCACGGTGCCGCCAAAGTATCCGCTGATGATCGCGGTCGTCTGGATGAACAAGAATTTGGCGGTACATTTTCTCAATGTCCGCCAAGAAGACGTAACGGTGCCAGCGCCAGCGCAGGAGTACGTCGGCGAGAACTGGCAAGAGGTTGGCACCAGTCAGCAGATTGGTGTTGAGTGAGGTGCCCGAGGTCGTGAGCTGTGAGCCGTTGAACACGACCCTGAGCTTAGTGGTGGTGCTCGTTTCTCGCAACACTCCGTGATGCGGTAAGTAGCACCTTGCAGTATCTTTTTGTTGTGATGATGTGGTTACAGCTTCCATGTGTTGCAGGTCTTCGTAGTCCTTCATGAAGCTGCGATAGAGGTTGCCGAATCGAGCGTCCTTGTCGCAGCGGCGCTCCATGGCATGGAGCAAACGCTCGGCCGGCCGACGGGTTCCCGACAGAGAGGGTGGAGCTCCGGAGAAGGGAAGCCTCACAATGTAACGTCCGGCGGTGGTGCGTGAGTGCTCGCGGACGAAGATGTCCTCGCATCTTCTCTCCTCCGGGGTAAGAGCGACGGGAGCGGTATGCTCCTTCTCTTGCTCCCAGAAGAGCTGCACCAAGTCGGTCAGCTGGCGGTCAATAGTGCATTGGTGAGCGGCATGGCTACCCTGGGTCGTGGCTCGGTGTCCTCCCGACAGGATCCACCCGAGGGAGGTCTTCTGCGCGATGGGCTCGTCTTTGCATCCTTTGCGGAGTCCATCTTGAAGGATGGCGGAATAGACATCCGCACCGAGCAGTATCTCGATTGAATCTCGGTCTAAATACTGCGGATCGGCCAGAGAGAGACCGCGTATGTGGGGCCAGGTGACGCTGGCTCGCACGATGGGCCCCTGGTACGAGGAGAGATGCGGCAGGACGTACGCCTGGACTGGGAGCGTTGCTCCGGTTATTGCCGAGGAGAGCGCCAAAGACAGCCGTCCGCGGGTTGCTCCAGAGGCTCCTCCGATCCCGGCTATCGTCATCGAGGAGCGGATCCGCGGCAGGCGCAATCGTTGTGCCAGGGCCTCTGAGACTAGAGAGACCTCTGATCCTTGGTCGATCAGTGCTCGGATGTCGTGCGGTCTTCCCACGTGGTCCTTGATAGTGACCCGTGCGGTGGCAAGAAGAATCGCCTTGCGGTCTGATGCGAAGCGTGTGGTGGACAAGGAAATCGCACCATCAGATTGCGAGTATGCGTCGTGCAGAAGCGTGTGGTGGCGTGCTTTGCAAGTGAAGCAAGTTTTCGACGACTGACATTTTGCCAGGTAATGGTTGCCGAGGCAGTTGAAGCACAATCTGTTTGCTTCTACTAGGCCTTTTCGCTCGGCAGCGGTCTTGGCCTTGAACGTCGAGCATTGCATAATCGAATGCTTTTCTTTACAGGCGGCGCACGTTGACGAACCGGATGCGCGTTTTACAAAGTGCGACTTTGCGGACCGAGAAGTGTCTCCGGATTTTGCGGCAGTGGTTGGCTGCACGGCGTTCAGCGTGAGGATCTGCTTCGCTATGAAGTCCATAAGGACGTCGTTGCTTGGCGGGTCGACGGAATCGCGGATCGAGGACTTCCACTGCATTCGAGTCTGTGTGTCAAAGCGCTCGACGAGCAGGTAATTGAAGAGGTCCATACCGTGCGTGCCGATGGGTCTTTCAATGCTCTCCTGAGCATTGATGGCAGTCGTAGCGGCGTTATAAATTCGGTTCAACTCGTCAGCGGTCGCGTTCTTCATTTTAGGCACGGCGGTGTAGGCAGCGAAGTTGGCGCGAATGAGCTCTCGCTTGTTCTCGTAGTGAGAACTTAAAATTGACCACGCCCTGTCATAACTGCCCCCGACAATCGGCAAGGACCTAATTAGTTTTTCCGCAGGACCCTGTAAGCTCGTACGGAGATAGTGGAGCTTTTCCACGTCGGAAATGGATGTATTGCTCCCGACGATGGACAAGAAGATGTCGCGAAACGCGGGCCAATCACTGTATGCACCGGAGAACGACTGGAGCTTAATTCGCGGCAGCGAGGTCTTGAGCGTCTGCTCTTGGTGAGCCTCGACCTTGGGCGTAGTGGGCGACTCGCCCTTGAGTTTGTGCGCGTATTCGACCAGCATGCTCCTTTGTGTCACGTAAGTAGTTTCCGCGATATCGATAAAATCATTCTTTGCGTACTCACTCTCAAGATATTTGTCTTTCAGCGCCGCTACAATGAGGTCATGATGGGTCTCGAATCTGGTCCACAGCGTGTCGAGAATGCGGAGGCGAGCCTGAATCGCTTCGGCGGTGATGCTCGAGACGCCCATCTTGCGCAGATTGTCCACGGAGCGAGACATTCGTCCGTGGATGTCGTTCTGCGCCTCCAACAGTTCCTTTAGATCTGCACTCATGATCACCTTTCAGTTTCAGATTCACACACTACGTCACAAAGTTCACCCACGAACTGCGGATGCGGATAAAAAATCCGGCTCGAAGGACCAGAAAATGTTCGCGAATGAGTTATTCGAAACGATAGGCGCGACAGAAAAGGTCTTGGACTCGGACACTGCACAATTGAGAAAAAACAAGCCACGACACGTATGATTTTTTTGTACTTTTGATAGTTTTATTTTCAACACCACACGATAAATAAAGTTTTACACAAATATATATAGATTTCAGAATTCGAAAAATATTGCCGAAATTAGTTCAAGTCCGTAATCGAGAGGAAAGTCCGAGTGAAAAAAGCGGTCGAATAATACTGCGGTTTGCGAAGCGAAAAGTGCGGTTTAGCGAAAAGTGCGAGACTTCCTTGTGTCCTCGCGCGGTGCTCGTTATATACCGGGCAGATTTTTGGGCCCGTATCGACGTGGCCCAATTAACTTTGTATTTTGGCGGTGACCTCAGGGCGCCGCGCGTCATTGGCCGCTGATGAGGTCTACCGCTGACAATGAGTTAATTGTCATGCGCGCGATCTTTTTAGATCAGCTGATTGGTAATCAGCTGATCGTGACGCATGGGCGCGCATGCCCGTAAACTGTACAGTTTTCGGCGACCGTTGACACTGTTATTGTCAACGGCAGAGACAAACGTTTTTTGCGGTGGCAATAAAATAGAGATAACTCGAACGATCGGTTTTTTCTCTATAAATAGAAACGTCGAGAAGATTCTCGACGTCCGTTAATTTGAAAAATCTCGGTTTTCGGTAATAATGAGCTGAGATGATATGCATGCGAAATATGAATTTCAAACAACAATAAAATAAAATAAAAGAACAATAAAAAGGATTAGGTCCCCAAAATCTTTTTCAAAATACAATAAAATACAATAAAATAAAATAAAAGAACAAAAAAGGATTAGACCCAAAAAAAGATTAGGCCCAAAATCCTTTTCAAAAGAATACCGCTCTTTTTATGCTTGTCATTAACGTGAGCCCCCCCCAACCCCCGCGTGACGTCATACCGCCGCTCCGCTGAGATCACCTCGCACCTCATCTCCCTGAGAGGACCTGGGTTAGAACCGGCCTACTACATCTACTAAAATCTAACGTGACTGCATCAGGAGCAGCCGTAAATCGGCGCTCGATTTTAGCAAATTCAGCTAAATCTTTGTTCCGACGATGATGATGTCATCGCAGCCGTACATCGACGCGACAAAATTTTGGAAGAAATTAAAATGTTGCGTCAGCAATAATCCCCTCTACATCGCAATTTACGATACTATTTGAATTGATATTGATTCTAATACGATTGCAGTATTGTATCAATCGCGTGTGTGAAAGGTTCACCGCTGAGGAAATATGAATTTCTACGTTCCGATTCGAAACGGTGAAACTCCACCGTGTAAGAAGCAGAAATGCGACACGTAAGTTTAAATCGTTTAAAAAATTTGTTACTTATTGATTTTTAATATTGTTGTATAATTATTTATATTTTATAGTATTCAGCCTCGTCGTGCGGCTCGCATACTTGGAAGAAGGTACGCTCTAACTCCGACGTCGTACAAGTATTTGGACATTGGAATAAGCGTTGGAGCTGTATCGTACGTGGAACTGATTCTCGGCGATAATCGAGGCAATCAAATAGTGTTGCCCTTTTCAACGTGGAATTTGTTGATGCGGAAGCAAGCAGACGTTGAACAATTTCTACAATCGACTGCTCCCCCATTAAGGATTGGAGATTTAACGATTGAAATGTATCAATCGAAAATTGTAAAACTTGCATTATGCGAAAATTCTTTGTACATGAAACCAGAAACATTATTACATTTATTTAATTTTGAAAATTGTATCGATCATATGCATAATTGGTTATGCGAGAATACGTATCTCGTAAATGAAAAATTTAAACAATTTGAAACTGTATTACAACGTAATAATATTACTACTGTATGCGATGCTGTAAAAACGATACGCGAGAGTGATGTCTTTGACAGCGAATTATTGATTGATCGCGAATTATTAACATGTGCTGTAAATGATATTCTTTACGATGCGTGCAATAAATAATTATTTATTTTTATTCCATCTATGAATTTTATTTCTTTCCTTCCATACGAATAAGAATAGTCGACAATTTTTCTCAACACGCTCCGCCAAAGATGTAGAGAAATGCTGAGGTAGATGAGACGCGATGCTCTAATTGGAATGAGACACGAGATATTAAAAAGATATATAATGAAGAGGAGTCTGCTGCACTAGAGTATCATTTCTTTCGTTGTTCTTTGCGTTTCATTAGTCTTGTGTGTGTTACGTTAGTGCAATGGCTGAAGAAAACGTAATCATCGGTAATGAAGATATGGATGATAATGATGCTGAAGAAAACGTAATCATCGGCAATGAAGATATGGATGAATATGATGCCTGGATGGATCCAGTTGTGGTGGAAAAAATTGAGATTGAGAGAGAGAGAGAAGAGCGAAATGGAAGAAATTATATGCGAAAGAAGAATCATCTGATAAGGAACCTGATTTCGATTTTCGAACTAGTGATGTTGAAGAATTACTTCAGTATGAGCGGGAACAGCTTTCGAAGAAGAATCTGGAAACCTCAGTCCTTCAATTTATAAGAAATCGTGAGCTCGGCTTGAAAAAACCCCGCACAATTTCGTTAAACAAATTTCTCAAAACTCGAGACTATTGGGCGAACTCAGTTAAAAAATGTAATGCAAGTTTTTGTATAGATTGTATATATGCGGAAGATCCTAATCACACTAAAGTAAAATGTTTCGGAAATAGACTTTGTAAACATCTTGAATTATGTAAAGATATAGACAAATTCGAAGAAGATGTGCATGAAAATATGCTACGACATGACTTGGAAACGTTGAAGGTAAAAATATTTTTGCTAATGTGTAATAAATTTAAAACATTTACAATTATTATGTTTAATTTCAGAGTTTACGAGAGTACATGAATGGTCGATGAGAGGACCAGGAGCGAAAGTTCCTCAGCGCTCCTCCCGACACATCGCCCCTAGTCTTCCAGGAGTGACCATCCCCTGACCCCCACCCCCGCACCCCCAAATTATTTTATTATTATATTATTATTTTATTATTATATTATATTATTATTATTAATCATAATTTAAGCACATACACACACACACAATTGTATTAACACATACACATTTTTAATAAATTTTATATATTTTATATTCATAAAAAAAAATCTAATTATTTACGCGTCTCTCCATGCGTCCCCATCCCTGCGTCTCTCTTGCGCTAGTTATCGCGATATCGTTCTCTCTTGCACGCGTTAATCATAAGTCTCACGCTAGTTGTAAGTCTATCTCTTTCTCCTGCGCTTAGAATTAGTAATCTCTCTCGCGCTAGGACACAAAAAGTACACATTTAAATAAATTTTATTTGATTTTAATTGAGAAAAAAATCTAATTATTTACGCGCCTCTCCTTGCGTCCCCATCCTTGCGTCCCCATCTCTCTTGCGCTAGTTGTAAGTCTCGCGATATTACCGTTCTCTCTCGCACGTGTTGTCTTCGCAGTATTATCATTCTCTCTTTCGCGCACGCACTAATTGTAAGTCTCGCGATATTATCGTTCTCTCTCTTGTACACGTCGTCTTGGCGCTATCGTTCTCTCTTTCATATGCGTTCTCTCTCACTCGCGTTGTTCTTGCGTGTTATAGTCCGAAAGACTATAACTTATTATGTCATTATAATAGAATATACAATATAATAGAACATTCGCGAACCGTGTAAAACCGCCATCTTAGCAAACCACGCGCGAGAACGCTCGCCGGAAACGCGAAAGACGCTAACGAAGAGATTCGACTTTGAATCTCATTCGCTTGCATTTGGACTTTGGACGCCACAAAGAACCCCCATGACCATACATGGTCATGTCGCTAGACGATCCCCTCCCAAACACTCCCGAAACCGAGGAAATAAAAGCCGTCCACCGCGAATCCGCGGCGGACAGTCGTTAATTATAAATCAATCAACTAGTGCGAGACCAAGGGCTAACCGCTATACTGTACGACGAATCACCCAACGAAATTGTTAGACACTCTAAATCTAAGAACGAGGCTAAGAGAAGGCTTGAAAAGAAATTGACTTATATCAAATAAATGAATATATTTGTAAAAGAGAAGTTTTATAATAAAAAGTTGCAACCAAATTCAGGAAATTAACTTGAAACTCCCGGCTACCCCACACCCCGTGCCGCGTCCGGCACAATATTTCTGGTGGCAGCGGTGGGATAGCCGAGATCAAGAACCATCCCTGGATCCTTAACGCCTGCAACAAAAAGAAAATACAAAATTATTAAACTGGACAGAGCAACTGCTATATTGAAGCAGATAGACTCAACCAGCACGCAACACATACGGACGACAGTAATAAAGAAATCACGATCAAGCAGCTGAAAGCCGAAAGGAAACAACAGCGCTCAAGGACCAACGTCGATCCACGGCCAAGGCAACGCAACGCAGACGGACAACGCATCGCCGACGGACAGCGCACCAACGCGGGACAACGACCCACCAGCAGCGTCAGCAGTCGAGCGATCCGATAAGCAACCCGATAAATTGCGACCATGCGAATCACCGTGCTACTACTGTAAGTCGAACTTTATCTAAATGTCAGCGCCGCCAAAACAAGTAAGATTTAAGAGTCCGCGATTTCTGAGCGTGCCAGCCCGATTGGCAAATAGATTCGGAACTGTAACTCCGATACGAGTAGCAAAAGAAGCTGCTCGCGATATTCGTAGAAGCGTACGAAAAAATTTAGAAAACCATTATTCGAGTTCTGATTCATCCGAGAAACACGAACCGAGTAATAACGATAATTCAATACTAGACGGACCAAGTCGCATTACGGTACGAAGAAATTATTCAGCGATATCAGTTGATGTTAGTTTATTCGAGCCACGTGCGCAAGTAAATATGGACAACAA